TATGAAACATTAATTTTTTATAGGTTTGATGTCTAAGTAGAGAATTAATTATTAAAGAGCCAATATGATTAGTTTTAACAAATTTCTTCCACATTTTATTCATTCAGGGTTATATTTTACTTTACATTTACATCAACATATCTTGAAATAGATAAACTTAAAAAAAATGAATAAATAAATCAATCTTGAATCAAATATTCCGGATCACTCACACATGCATGGACCAAGTGATAAACAAATATATAAAATGAAACTATCATTCTTTGATGGAATATATATTAGTAATTTATTAATAACAATATCTAATTCTGTATTTGATTCTTGGATAAAACACAAATAATTAAACTGCTAAGCTGGAATTGACTCATTTAAAAAGATGTTTAAATTCTATCCATCCATCCATCTATCCATTATCTGACACGCATGTCCCGAGTGGGGTCACGAGGGGTGCTGGTATGTTTGAATTCTTTAAAAGTTATTATTTTTATGTGTTGGTGGTTTACAACAGAAGTAAAAATGGAGTGGTGGGTTTAAATTTCTAAACCTTTTCCTTATTTAAAGACCAACATTATAGTCTATACGTAAGTGTACTTAATTGCCAGAATTTACAGATAGAATTATTTAGTGTAATAAATAATGATAAAAATCAAGATTTCAAATTTTGTCTTATAATAATTAATAATTAATAGCATAAAAACAAACTTCTCATGTAAAGTTTGACAAAGGATTGCTTTTATTTCTCTTAATAGAATGATTGTTAGTGATAAAAAGTACATCAGCACAATAATAAAAACAGTGTTTAAAACAGGGTAAGTATGTAGATTTTAGGGTAACTATGTTTAATGCACGCCTAAAGGGTTTTATTTTCAAAAGGTGATTTCAAAAAGACAATTGAATCTGACCCACTTCAAAAAGATATAACTTGATTGAAAAATATTTTTAAAATACTTGCTTTAACATAACAGCAACTTGATAACAGCTACAAGATAAGACATTATTAGAGAATTCTGTTAAATGAAAATCTTCAGCATGTGTGCCGGAAATTGATTTAAAAACATAAAAATTTAACGAGAAAAGTATAACATAAACAAATAGAATCATACTGCTTTAAAGCAAATATATGAACATGAACACATTTTCTCAAATGAATTGAATCAGAAGCAACAGCTTCAAAAAGCCGATGCATCAGTGCTCTTTTATAGCGTATTTTGTTGGAGCAGCATTTGATCTACAGCTGAGAGGAAGCAGTTGGATGAATTCCTCAGGAAGTCCAGCTGGATCCTAGGATGCCCCTTCGACCTTGTGATGGTTGTGATGTTTGAATGTGTTTTATGCACATAGAATGATTTATATTTTGCGTCATACTGTGTTAAATGTTTGCAATCATTGATAGGGGTGTGCTATTATTAGTCTTATATTGTAAATTTGCCCTGTACAGGTTTCTTATTCAAATTTAATACAGTTTATTTATGTATTCATTTATTATTATTATCATCACGTTTTTTTTTTTTCATTTCACTTTGCCGTTGGTATATTATATATAAGTATTTTACTATAGAATATCCTATTTTGTTCTCTCCCTTCTCAACTTTTCTAGAGAATGTTTGTTTCATGTTTCCCCCCCAAAAAACATATGTTCTCCAACTGAAGACGTCAAAGTGTTGTCTGCATGTCTGCATTTTTTGTAATGAAGCAGCGAATGCATGATGGGAAACTGCCTTAAAGCATTTAATTTGAGCTCTTCAGAGTCATTTTTGGACACACAGGGAGCCATGGTAAAGACATGACACAATGAATGATGTGACCCAATTTCCTGCATTCGTACCAGGCACAGCAGTTTGTTAAATAAGCCACAACTGTGACCTCTTAAAAACTTTAAACAAACGGAAGTCACAAAGGAAGAAAGAGCCAACTGCAAAATCCCATTTTCACCTACAACCCCTTCTTTTCCTTTATATTCTGTTTTATAAATTCACAAATGTTTAGAGGAAGTCAAGGGGGAGGGAGCTTATTTTTCTTTAAAAAAAAAAACATTTTTTAGAGCTTGCATATTTAAAAAGACATATTTCTGCAAAACATTTTTCTCTAAAATTATTTTAGGGTGTATTCTGTTGCATAATCAAATCCTTTTCAGGTATTCATCATAAAATGAAAAGACAAAAATTGAAAGATTTCTTATATCAAAAAAAGAAAAATTTTATTAGTCTGTAACCCACTTCTCTGGTAGATCAGGGTGACTTTCTGTGTAAACAGCTTAAGCCTGGAGCCCCTTGGGTAATGTTAGAAAACCATGATTGATAGGAGGTGGAAATGGAGATAGAGGGTAGCAGGATAGAAAACCTGGTGGAGCAATATTTAGTTGCTAAATTACAAATAATATTTGCATAAAAATATGTTTTAACATTACGTAAATATGATATTTCACAAAAAAGGAAGATTTAGCTTAATGAATTACAATGCAACATGTTCCATTGTTACCTGGTTCCTTTTGGATTAAATAAAATCGAATACTGGCATCTGCAGCAGGCTTGGTTACTCTTAGATAATTTTACAACTATACTAATTGCTCTATACACATGGGAGATAGCTCATATCAAATACTATATTTCTGAAAATTATTAACCAATTTTACAATAAAATAATATAAATTTTCTGATTTTCCATTAAAGGTATAGAGAATATTTTATTTCCGGGTGGATCATCTAGATAAGTGGTCCTCCTAATTGTCAGTCATTATAGTGATATGTTTACGTAAGGCCAGCCTACGTGCTCGTGTCTTTTTCTGCCCATGCGCATTTTCAGGTGTGTATGTGTGGTGTGCAACGGTTTAAGACATTGAAGCTCACCTTTCTCACCATGGTTTTTTGAAAATGGCCAAGGGTCATAAGAGAAAAAGTGTCTATGAGTTGTATGAGAAGAACAGAAAGGCCTCAGAAGAGGTGGATATATCCCGGAATGCTTTGCACCAAGAGTTCTCTTTGCAAAGTATTTTGGTTTTTGCTGTCACAGCTGCCAACTGTCGCTATAGGCTGTCGCAACCCGACAGCCGCGCCTAATAAGAAAGATGGCACAGGAGGAGGAGTTACCTGACCAATGGGGAGCAAAAAGCAGTGATCATCTGTCCGAATGGTCATTAACTCAGGTCGCTATAAAGTGCATTATATACTGTAGTCCCAGCTCTAAATACTGATTGAGGGATTTAGGAGTTAGAGCGGACGTTTGGACACAGTAAGCTTGTATGAGCTATGAGAACAGGAACTTTAAACAGAGCATGCACGAGGAGAAAAAGGCTTGTGGATGCTCTCGCACATGGAGAGGATGGGTCATCCTCCACAATACCTTGAAACACCAAGTGGTGAAAGTTGACATGAGCATAGGTTTAGCCTACCACTCACCAAGAAAATGCTGAAATATCACAGTGAATTAACCAATGTGTGAAAAACAGAAATGTTTTTTTTTTAAGCACAGATGAAACATTATTTCAACCGTTGTTAATGTGATATGATATTTACATATTTAGGCTGCATTGAGTGATAGACCACTTAAATTTGAGTGTTGATCATAAGTCAATGTGCACAGAATGTGCAAATAGACTTTCCCTGGATATCATTGTAGACCAATTACAGCTTCTTCCATCAGAAAAAATAAGTTGTCGAGAAAGAAAAGTAATCAACTAGAAGATTTTATATACAGTTTTATGGAGCTGTTATGGCATGGATTGATATCACACGTCTTTATCAGCGAAGGTGTATGTTAACAGCCAAAAAACACTTTTCTGTTGCTTTTTTCTAACCTTAACTAAGCAAACAGAGATTAAGAATAAGATAAACCCAAACATCAAACCAAAGACATAAACAGAGAAGGTAAAATAGAAAAACATCGATATGAGTGGTGACATCTGTTATAGACTGAAAAAATTCATATACATTTAATCTATTTGTTCATGGTTACTTTAACTTTACTCTGGTATTGCTGTTTTTCACTTTGGTTTCAGAGAGCCTTAAAGTGTGAAAAGTATACATGAAAAGGCATCAATCACAGTGATGAAAATCTAACAGAATCAAACAGGAAAAGGTGCTTAGTATCACATTAGTTTCAAACGAGGGCTATATAAGAAATCGAGATTTAGCTTAGAATGGATTCACAGACCTGTTTAAAAGCACAGCTGAAGGTGATGATAAAAAAATACAAATAAATAAATAAACAGAACCTTAAAAAAACATTAAAGAAGAACAAAGGCTAAACAGTTTTTTTCTCTTTTTGGCATTTTGTCAGATAACTTTTTGTTCTTTCACCCCTTACTAGAGAATTTCATTATCAGAAGTCTGCATGCCTTTGTGTTCATTGTAAAATGTTAATACCAACAGTCGCTGCAGGCTAAAACTTCACTGAGCTTTATGTTAGTGACGCAACTTCAAAATGTGCTTCGCATATCTTGATATTTCTCCCCGCTGTGCTGCTGCAAATGCTTTGAAGCTTTTATAATAATGAAGAGGTTCTTACCTCTGATTAAAGAGACAAAAATGTAACACTCGTTAGGATGTGAAGGAGACTTCCAATTTAAGGTTTCTATGGAGGGAACTAAAAGGCGTACAGCAAATTTCCACACAACAGTCTTTCTGTTTGTTCTTCCAAGGTTGACCTGATAAGACTTTTTCAGATTCTATTCTCCAGTATATCAAGATTAGTTTATGATTTCCTCACTTAGAATTATGCCCTAAAGGCATTCAGCAGGGCTTCAGAAGTGGTTTATCATAAGCACAGTGATCTACAAAAGCAACCCAGATAAAAAAATAAAATAAAATAAAAACTCCTACTGTTCATCACAAGAAGCATATCATTCTCATTAAAACACCTACATCTTTAATATGGACTGATTTCTAAAGCTTCTAATGTTTTTCCAACTCTTTGTTTTGTTTTGTTTTGTTGTTTGAGCTTAAACCAGTTTTGCAGCATTTCATTATACTGTAGCATCAGTTAGATCACAGAGACCAACTCACACTCTGGCCCTGCGGTGGCCGTGGCGTTTACGTCTGCTTCCTTTGATGCAGCCGTTCCTGTCTGCAATGTCCGCCTGTGTGTCAGCAGCTTTCCGATCATCTGCCTGAAGCAGGCAAGATGCTGTTGGTTCTGAGCTGTGCAAGAGAAAAAGAAAACAGAAAACACACACTTTGAGACACTCTTCAGTAAAATATTAATTTTTTTAAAGGTGCCCACATACTTAAAACATCGTTCAACTGGGAAGAATATTGTTTAACGTGCTTTATAATTTTCTTTATGCTGGCTGAATGTTTTATTTCCCAACCTTCTCCTCCTGGCAGCTAATCTCCAGGAAAAACTGAGGTCAGTGATTTACAAGTCAAACTCCTGTCAGCTGGAACCTAGTTTCATGTTTCAGCTCCCTTGGCATTTAAGTATTTTTTTTATTTCCATCTCGTGATACAACTTATAGCTAGAGAATAAATTATCCTTGTCGCTACACCGCTTTTTTCTCTCATACATAAAAAATAAATACTAGATTCCTTCCTTTTTTTTTTTTCTGGCAAAGCAATGTTCCCATCCATTAAATGTTCTTACAGTATATCTGGCCCTCTGCTTTATTTGCTTTTCCTCTATAGATATAGGAAATGAAACTGACTGAACTGTTAAACTGAGATCAATAATCATCCATAAGAATGTTTTGTTTGGCATTTTCAAATTAACCTTGTAAATGCATGGATTTCTCAGAATACTCCAGTTTATCAGTGCACATTAGGTTCACGGAGAAAAGAAATCCTCATCTGCTGGCATGCATGCTTTCCTGTCCAGTGTGTCTGTATTTGCCCTGTGATGGATTGATAACTTGGGAGTACCCCGCAGCTGTGCTCCAACCGTCATGCAAGGATCAGCGGGGCAGCGAAAATCAATGAGAGGTTAAGCAAATTATCTCCTGCTTCTAAATCATGCTGCAACAACCCTTCCAAACAACAATCTTCATCTATAAATGACTTGATAAATTGAGTGATTTGATGTAAGCTTGCAGCTAAAGCCCTGATAAGGATTCTCTGTTTTAGTCATGAGAGATTTGAGCGTAATTACAAATTCTCCTCTTCGGCGAGTGGCTCCCGTCTGATTGTAATGAGAAGATAATCAGAGCAAGAGATTAGTCCATCAGCACCGTTTCCTTCACTTCCCGCTGCAGCGAGCAGGCAGGAGCCGTCGCTTTCCATCTTCCTCACCTTCATTTTCAGGGGCCTTTCAGAGTCAGAGGAAGTGCCCTCTTACAGGGATCTAATAATGTAAAACGGCAGACTGCGTGCTTCGACATGATCGAGTGTGGGAAAGGTGTTAGGGGAGATAAGACAGCCACCACAAGGATGATTAGTCTGATCAAGGAGGCTGATGAGGAAGACAACCTTTAAACAAACTGATGATTGGACAAATTTCTCCTTGCATAGAGCCAAATAAACATAATTTTGTCCTCAAGGAGGTCAAAGATTACATCATGAATATTTCAATTATTATTTAAATAGGTGACAGAAATTATTAGCAGCTCATTTATAAATAGGAAACTAAATAAAGACACATTTTAAGGGATTTTCGTGAAAACCCTTAGATGTGATTACAATTTTTTTTTTTTCTTTAGTGCCCCAGCAGCATTGGGAATATTATTTGAAAAAGAGTTACTAGGTTTAGTTATAATTTACTTGTCCAAAACACTAAAGGAGTTAATAACATGATCAAGCTCAATCAAAGTAACTAGTTACCAGGTGAAGTAGCTATGCAGATAGTCTATTTTCTTAAATGTACATGGATTCTGATTACTTTCAAAGATTAGATACAACATGTTTTGAATGATTAAATATAAATCTACTTTAGGTATTAATTCAGTGATCCATAAATAAAAATAACAAAATATCTGAACGTTGTGTCCAGGGACATATACTGTACTATGAAAAATATGCTTTCCAAACCTGTGGATACCCTAACTGGGCGTCAAATCAGTAAGGAAATCCAAAAGACATGCATAAGAACATAATGGTGAGAAGAATAAACGCAAAAACATTGCAATCCCATATGATGCTGTAGTCTCTGAAAAACTCAAGACTATTTTCAAACACAAAATCCCAGTACATTTCAAACTAAACAAGACCCCTAAACAGAGACTAGTGCATCCTAAAGACAAAACCCCCAGAACAAATATGAGCGGAGTGGTGTATGCAGTGAGGAATGCTCTGATCTTTATATTGGAGACACCAAACAGCCTCTCCACAGATGCATGGCTCAAAACAGATGGGCTACCTAATAAGGACAAGACTCTGCCGTCCACCTACACCTTAAGGACAAAGGACACTGGTTTGAGGACAAAAATGTTATTTTGGATAAAGAAGGCAGTTGATTTTAAAGGGATGTGAAGGAAGCCATTTATGCTAAGAGAGAAAAACCAACCTTAAACAGAGGGGGTGGACTCAGGTTTCAGCTCTCAAAAACCTACAACACAGCGACAGAGCTGATTCCTTCTACCCATCACTATGCAGGGGACCAAAACATCTCTCCTGGTCACCCAGGCCAACAACGACCTCAACGACTCCCCATCACTAAGGGGTGGACCTGTTTTTTTCTGTTTACTTTGCATGTTTTCTAAACCAAAACAAGGCTTTTGTTTGATGCCTCTCTATAAGCCTCGAATTCAAACCCTACTCCAGACATTTTGAATTGAAAAGGGTTCCTGGATGGGAAGACAAAGTCCAGTGGTTTGTTTTTTATCTTTGTATGAATGATGATGATCTGAAAAAAACTAAATTGAAAAAATAAAGCTCTAAACAATAATATAAAACACAATATTAAATAAATACCAGCGTAGAAAATACTTTGTTAAAAGTTCAAATCGTTCAATAAAGTATATTAACCCCTAGAGGGGGAAATGTGTTTCCCACCATCAACACATACAGTACATTCTCAATAAAACAAATAAAATAACACATAAAGGAGCATTAAAAAGACTTTAGTCAAATTCTTTGTTTGCACCCACAAACAAGGCCATTAAAGTCAAGAGTGATAGGCGCATTACGCCTCCTTAACCATTCAGCCTTACATATGCCACTATCTCAGCACCCCTTCTCTAACACTGCATTGGGAAGCAAAGGCTGTTATCTGCTGTAGCACAGACTGCACACTTACTCCAAATTGTTAGTAATGTAATGCCGTTACCCAAATGAGAATCTAATTAAATAGATTACTCCTTACTGAAACAATAAAACAGTTACTAATGGGCTAAATATCTAATGCTGTTACTCCCAATATTCTGCATCAGCTTTTACAAAAGAATAACTCGAAAAACGTCAAGGACAGTTGAATGGACTGCTGTCTGGTGCCATTACTGTAACTGGGGGTTTGTTTAATCTAAGAGGAAAAAGACTAGTTTTTTTTTTTTTTTTTTTGCAAAGCAATAAAAAAAACCTGCGAATGGATATATTCTTTTCCAGTCACCAAACGGTCAACAACATGTATCTCTCCCACCGTATTTAACTTAATAAAGGTGGGGACTAATGTTATATAATCTTCCAGAAAATAAATAATTATGCAGATATCATGATTTTCTAAAATAGAAAAAAAGGTTACATTAGAGGTTTTTTCAGCACCTATGTGCATATATTATGTAAAACCATCATACTGGTCAGATCAGGTCACTGGTCACACAAGTTTTGCGGAAAAAAAAAAGGAAATCAGGCAGTCCTTTCTCAAGCTACACCAGAGCTCCTACTGGGGTTTAATAAAGCATTTTCAGGTCAGAGAGATTGATTAGTTTCTAACTAATCAATCTCTCTGATCTCAAGTTTCTAACCCCAGAGTAATGACTTGAGTAGGCTAAAGAACTTAAAAGTTATCAGGAGACAACCTTAATGTGAATTCAAATCTCCCTATGTGGTCTACCATTGACTACATCTGAAAGCTGTGCAATGGAAATGATTAGTCATCTGCTCCTGCTAAGCAGTGTTGACCAGAACTTAACACACTTATTTCCCCTGTAAATAATATTATTTTGAACCGTTCTGACTCTTCACCCTTGCAAAATTAGTACATCCCCGGATTAAAGGGTGGTACCAAACAAACAACCTGATAAAAACCAAATTTAGACCACAAACTGATGAAAAAAATACATAATAAGCCTTTATAGAATAACATTTTGGTAAAATCTTTTGTTTCCATCATGTGGATGATTTATCTACAGGGATTTATATTGACATCCTTGTGAGGAATTGCCTATTTATTTATTTTTTTATTCTTTTCTCATTCTTCTCTTCTGAGTTGACAAGCCTTTATCTTCTTTTTGGCACGGTAATAAGCATGCCTGTGAGTGGCGTTTGACTGGTAATCCAGCATGCTGAGCATGCTTGCTGGGCCAGTGAGCTTTCGGACAGTACATCTTTTTTCATGTTAACCTACTGGCCCATAAACATTCAATTCGATTATTTTTCTGAGGTTGGAATGGCTGAATCACTTCTCTTAACCTACCCGCCTCACCATTGTGTGCTTTCAACCTGCCAAAGGTGGAAATTAAACAAACATTTAATCACTATAAACCACTTCTGCCCCAATGGACATTAAACAACACCAGCAACAAGAGGAAAAACAGGACTGAAGGTAGAAAACTTACGCTAGTCGAGATAGGCAATAAAAATGTAAGAAATTATAAGTTATGCTATAATAACAAACAGCCAAGGAGCCTGTGGCATTACTACACTTGTATGTTTTTATCAGCATCATTACTGAGTCAGACTTGTGTTTTGTAACTTCTTCATTTTTATTCAAGTACAGCAAACATATTGTAGCACTGTTACTGAACCATGGCTGAAATTCAATACATTCTATATTAGGAATACTTTAATTCATATGAAAAATAAGTAGGCAGCATAAGTGGTATTTAGCATCAGAATTTATATCTAATATAGCAGACTTTAAAACCATGTAGTTTAAATTTTAACAAGAAATATCAGTAATGAGTTTAATTAATTTTGTGAAATCAAACACACATTTGTTTTGTGTCAGGAAGGGAATTTCCTGTGCATGAAAAAATTCATGATTTGTAATTGCATTATTCTAACTTCAGATAACACTGTGTTTCAAGAGTTATTCAACGTTTCCTGCGGCACAT